GTCACAATTTTTTTTTTCACAAGGATTCAAAGTTTGAATTTTGACAACATATGTAAAAATTCGCAAATTATTTCAAACTAGAAATTCATAAAAAATTTTCTTTTTAAATCTAAGGTTTGAAAATTTTTAATAATCTATTATATATCCTAGACAGATAAACCGTCCTCAGAATCGTTTTTGGTAGACAATGATATAATATCATTGGATTCAAATTTAATTCCACCCATTACAGTAACCTACTTGTAACCTACTGTATAGCAGAGCGACATCCACGACTTACCCGCCTTTTTTTTTTTTTTAGTGAATTCTCAGAAAGTGAAAATGCTTTTACAAATATAGCTCAAGAAAATTTAATAAAAGCTATAATAATGTGCTTACAAAAAATTCAGCCAACAATAAACTTATCTTTTACAATTCCTCGATCTATGTCTGCTAGATACCAATATGGTATCACTGTAGCAGAGGCTTGTAAGGTAAGAATACAATTTTTTTTAAATAAATATTTGTAAATCAATAGATATGCCTTTAATTGTGTGTTGTTTATTGTATACACTGTATACAGTATATCTGTAATATGCTGTATACACTACTTAACAGACTTTCTAAAATGTTGTATATATTTAAACTTGAACCACAAAGMTTCAGCATGACATTTATTTTATTTATTATTAATTAAATCAAATTTCTAACAACATCTGTATTATTCTCTTTTACATTTATTTTTTATGTGCATATTAAATTCACTAGTAAAAATATCATGATTGACAAACATTATCAATTAATAAACGATTGAGAGTAAAAATATATTATAATGCATGACGYCCAAAATAATTTGCTGGAAAATATTTGATAATTGGTAATGTTCACGGAAATTAATGTGTCCATCAATTCCATTATAATGTAGGTTGCGCGTTTTGACATGTTTTAATTTTTACACTATAAAAATATGTTCAGCGATTGTGTGTATTACTGCACTATTATACATACCAATACCATTCCGGTATGGACAACCATTCGGTCGTTTGGCTTTCAAAATAACCAATGCAATTATTATATTATATTCTGAATTTTTATACTTCCATTTCACACTTTTTGACCACTTGGGCATAATTTACAAGTTATACAATTTTGATTAAACAAACTATAACAATTTCAATTTTTTATTGCATCCATTTCTTCCAAATTCATTGTTCTAGACCTATAATCCTTAGCATCCAAAGTTAAATACCTCAAAAACTATTAAATTTTTATTTAAAAACATCAATACTTTGGAATCATGTTGTAATTGTATAATAGGCTATATTCAATGACAGAAATTCTATTTATTTTCAGCCATTTAAAACTACTTTTATCTAAATAATATATTTTTCCTCTATTTTAATGTGTCCAATGTTTTGAAATATGTCACTCAAACTGAATGTTATAGGTTATCCAAATAATAACAAAAATTGAAAGTATAATGTGTACCTAAATCCTAATTTTTTTATACGCTCTACTTAATCTGCTAATTATGTTAAATGTATATTTATTGTTTTAGAAAGTTGGTTACAAGTTTGACATTGGATATCAAACAATTTTATATGGAAATATAGTAGATATGAGAAGAATATTAATGTTTTTAATTGAAAAATTACCCAAAGAAATTGAAAATACCATAGAATTAAAAAGTATGTAATGTGTATTTATACTTAGTTGATTTTATTGTTTATTTATTTTTATTTTTTCATATATTTCTCTTTAATTCAAGGTTTTAAAAGTTTTGGAAATTACAACTACAGTAAAAAATTCATGTTAGAATTATTGATTAGTATTTTGGTTTTTTTCAATTTTTAATATTGCTCGAATGATAAAAAAATTGCATTTAATTATTTATTAATACAACAGCATGCTTCGTACAGTATTATTGAATTGAATCCTTAGATTTTGATTTAAAATATATTTATCTAGTTTTGAAAGACACTATACCTAGATATCTCATTAATACATTTTAAGTTTTACACTTTATAAACTATAAAGCTTTTATAATTTACTCAGTTATTTTAAAATTATATTTTATTGATATAACTGAAATAACTACTGATAAACATAGACATTATTATTTTAATAACCTTGTCTATATACATAGTTAATAAACTCATATTATATGGAAAGATTTTAGAATATAAAATAATTATTAAAAATTCTAAATTTTTTTAATAGTTACAAAATCAATATATATACGTATATAGTAAGGTAGGCAATAATTATATTATATTTACTATGTCATCAATTACTAGGTATATATATTTGTATGTATCACCCTAATTATATTCAATATTAATGATTTTATTTATATTATTTAGGTAAACGATGTACAATATCAAAAAAACTCAAAAAAAGCTTATCAACTAAAAGAAAATCATTAAACTTTTCATTATTTCCGAACTATTCATATGTCTCTGTACCATTAGAAACTGGTATAACTGTACCAGGACATAAAAGAAACTGTACTCCTGCTGGTAAGGTTGATAATTTGTAAATCATATTATGGTTTAAGATGTAAATTTATGAAGTTATAATTTTGTTACCCCAAAATATATAAAATTTTAAAATTAGACTGTGCAGAAGATTTATTTATTTTGTTAATAAATAAACAAAATGTTAATAGTTACTACTTATTATACTAATATTATTAGTTTTTTGTTCAGAGGCATGTATGAATAACTTAATTTCTGAGCTAATACAGAAGCATACAATATTCCATTAGTAAACAAGGGTCTTTGTTGTTGATTCCTGCTACTTTCATTGTCTATCCTTGTGCTTTAATGGCAAAACAAAGTTTGTTATAGAATTTTACCTGTTTGAACTTAAAAGGTTATTCATTTGTAATCATTGGTATTCTTGAAATGAACACAGTTTGACGACACTCTACACTAGTGAGAATTTTGGTTTCAATTATATTTTTAAAAATAAAACTCAATCTGGTTTCATCATACAATTTGGGAGCCTTTAAATTCTGTATAACAAAAAATAGTTGCACCAATTTTCAAATCAAGTTTATGTGGTGGTAGACCTGACAGATTTAAATAATTTAGTAATTCAGTAGAAATATCTACAGTTTGATATTGATCAGTAAGGGTATCAATAGAAATAAGGAATTTTCTAATAGCTTCTAACATAGAAATAATTTTTTCTTTCGTGATATTGACAGTGTCGTTTTTTTGAAGCTAGAATTGCATGTTCACAAAGCCATTCATTGGATTTATTAGAAATTAGAAGATTTTGGCTTATAAATTTATAACTTATGCCACTGCTACTAATCTGATTACGCTATTTGTTGATTTCAAGCACATTGTTCATTATTATACCATAATTTTTGATGAATTAYTTAATTGTTAATCTACTTATAAAATTGAAATCAAGCTTAAAACCTGCTCCAAAATGTACTCTTTCATTTTAAAAAAGAATCAAGATAAACGGATAAGTGGTTTTCTGATAATATGCGTGGAAAAAATTTCCATTTTCCATTTATATATAATATATGTAGATGAGCATTTTATATTTAATGTATTATAATCATAAAATTAAGAAATTTGGTTCCAAGAGCAATAATTTATTATTTGGTTAAATATGTTTTTATGTTCATTGTCCAATGTCCAATAAAAAAATCAAGTTTTTGAGTAACTGAGACAGAATTATTTTAAATTACTTTTATTAATTGAAATTACAAATACATTTACTTCCACATGATCATTTTAATTTTATTTATACACAATTTTACTTATATTTACTCATTTTTTAATGTTGTTGATAAATGTAATATGTATGTATACTATTAGTATTAATTATTATTTGTAAACAATAAGAACATTGTTTAATTAATTATTTTTTGTTTTATAGAATGGCGAAATTTCTGTATTAATAGTTTAAAATATATTACTGAACAACCATTGGATTTGAAATATTTAATTCCTTCATTAATCACACATAACACTAAAAGATTGCTGAATATTTATGAGTTCGAACTGAGAACATCAGATGATTTATCAAAGGTATTTGTAATATAAATAAAATTTAGTTTTTAGGTGTATTATATAAATTCCATTGTAAAATATTATTGTATCCAATTACATTTTAAATAGTTTAAAAAAGTAGTTATTCTCAATTATTCTCTAAATAATAAATATTGAAAATTCATAGTAAAAACTATTAATGATGAATGTTGACCTCTATAAGTTTTTATTCTTGCCTTTTTTGTTATAAATATTTATTTTAATATTATTTTAAATCAAGGTTTTTGTTTTATAGTATCTTTATAAGTTTTTTAAATTATGTGTCAAACAAACATGATTTAATTATGAAATATCTGTCTCAATGTTACGGACAAAAGTCGAAATCTGGCAAACCTCAGAAATGTGGGGTCAAAAYGTGAACTAATTTTTGGGCGAAATGTCATATTTCAGCTTTTGACCGGGCAAATCTAGTTATGACCAACCTCATTGGGGCAAAACTGTATACTGATTTTTATCGTAAGGGCAAAACCAAATAATCACAAATAATACAAATAATCATAAAATAAATATTATTGTACAAAATATATAATTGAATACACTTAAATAATAATAAAAAAATAATAATTTTGTTTATTTGTTGCTACACATAATAGACACATTTATAATCATAATAAAATCGTACAATAAAAATTACTATTTGTATTTAATATTAGCGAACGTATATTACTTATATAAAACACTACAGTTTTGCCCTTACGACAAAAGTCAGTATACAGTTTTACCCAAATGAGGTTGGTCATAACTAGGTTTGCGCGGTCGAAAACTGAAATATGACATTTGCCCAAGGATTGTGGGCAGTTCGCATTTTGACCGGACATTTCTGAGGTTTGCCAGATTTCGACTTTTGTCCGTAACATCAATATTCCAAATAAAAATGTTATCGATATATGTGACTTAGTAATCAAGAATAGGCATGTATCTTATAATTATTCATATTTTATATCTTAATACATTTGGTGTATCTTAAAAAAAATTTTCTGCATAAACTAAATAAAAATTAGGATACATTAATTTTTAAGGATTATAGTTTATTTAAATAAGATTTTAAATTTGACTTAAACCATTTCTATAAGTACCAGATGGTATCACAAAATTAGTTGCAATGATAAATAGAATACTTTGATGTTTCAGTAGTAAATATAGGTATAGATTAATATACAATTTAGTTATATGTAAATGTTCATGTTTTTAATATCTTTAAATAAAAAGCCTACACCTGAAACAAGTTGTTTAATTAATATACTTCATTATATTGTTTTGTTTCTTATTTTACAGAGTGTATCTTATGTCATTGCACTTATGATTTTTTATGATTAAGTCATGATAATATGGAATTTCAGAGAACTGAAAAAAGTAGCTTTATTTTTGACTGGCAATTTTTCATCAAAATTTCAAATTTGTTATGCATGCCAGTTGTATCAATATCGCTATATTTTCTATGACTATTTTTTCTGAATATTTTATTAAGATAAAAATAATAAACTACATTTGCCAACTATTTTGTTTACATTCGTCCCAAAATTGAAAACATTTTTTAGGCGGAGTTTCATTAGATAACTGATTTCAGTGTATCAAAGTTACAAAATTAAATTAAAAGATAATTTGATAAAATAAAGTACCTTTTGTAAATACAATTTACACCAATTATTTCAATTATAAGTATAAGGAATTCACTAAACTTTAGAGGATGTAGTTAATAAACTAGCAAACCAAAATTAATATTATTTGACTGAACATTTTCAGAAAAAAKATCAAAAATCCATTAAAAATATAGATGATAGTATTATTTGATAAAATAAAGCTGTTTTTGATGCAAACTTATACATTTTGAAATTGTAGTAGAAAAAAAGTGACAGTTTTAAATAAAAAAATATCTTTTTTTTTGAAATCCCATATTTTTGATCCATCATATTAAAAAAAACAACCTCAAATTTAACAACATAAGATACACTTTATAAATAATTAATAAGTAATAAACTATACTGAATTAGGTAAATAATATTGATGTACATGGTTACATGCTTTATATGTTTTTAAAAATGTATCTTGGTTTTTTTTTTTTAATGTCGACTGTATGTTGTACCTTGTATTTATAGTTAAAGCTAATATATTATTCAAGTTTATGCCCGTCCCTATAATTATATGTATTTATAAATATAATAATATATTTAATGTATATACATATTTGTTTGGCCTGTCTGGTATTAGATGTACTATATTGATAAATTTTATCATATACATAGGGTAATATTAGTTAAGTATTATTTCAAATGTAATTAGGTAAATCCTGTAGGTCAGCAGGTTCTCAAACCTTTTTTGTTTGTAGAGCCTTATTGTTTTACTCGAAAAATTCTACTGAGCCCCAACAATTAGGAATGCTTATAAAATTACATACCTCATGAAAAATTATGTGTGAATGATTTGCTTATTATTTTTTTTGCCCTTGGTTTATAATGTATCTAATCATAAACAATGAATACAATTTTTCATTCAACAAACTCTCATCTCATGTATGAAACAAAAAATTATACTGGTTATTATTAATAAAATTTAAGATAAACTGTTATTTTATTTTGATTCAATTCAGATATTATAGTCACAAAGCCTCAACATTACTCGTGGAGCCCTGAGGCTCCATGGAGCATAGTATAATAACTAGTGGCTTCAGGTATATAATTAATAAATAAATCTGTTTTAGAGTAGAACATTCCAAGGAGAAATCAAAAAAATCAATTTAAAACAAGCAAGTTACCTTAATACTGAGGTTAAAAAGGTATCTAAAGATCAAATTGAAAAAATATCAAAGGAATCTGAATCAACATATATTGAAGATCTAGTTTCCAAAAATAATGAACTTAAAAGTTTAACCCTAAATGTAAGTAATTTCTTTGTTTATAGTTAAAAATGTATTGTAAATATGTATCCTATGTGTATGTAGCAACATTCCACCAAAATAAATCTCATGTTGAAATTAGAAAAATTAGAAAAAGAAATAGCAGTTCAAGAAAAAAGTTTAAATATTATTGATAATCCTGAGGTTATTACTAAACTGAAAAATAAAGTTGATGCAGCACCAGATAAAATAAAAAGAATGGACAAGAAATGGAGTAAATATGAAACTGAACAGAATTTAATTTTATCAGAGCTAAATGATGAACTAAATAAAAAACGAGTGAGTAGTATTTCTGTAGTTTCTATTATTTATTTCATAGGTACATAAGTCATAAGTAGGGCTGTGATTTTAATGCCTAAAAAACCCCCAAAAAATACCTTTAAAAAAATGCTTTTATGACCTAAAAACTCTAAATAATACTTTAAAAACCCCAAAAAAATGTACTTAAAAAATTAACTAGAATAATAAAACGGACCACAAAACTCGTACTGAACGTCAAACGATATCATTGAACATCGATTTTACCAATTTAAGATTATTTAACAGGAAATGCGGGTAGTGGTTACTCAAACCTTGTCCAATAATATAATACGAATTACGAGTACCTACCTATTTATAATCAGTTATATTTATATAAAAACCATGTTGGTATAAAAATCTTAAAATTAAATTTCAAATTCTACTAAATTTCCAAAAACTCAAAAAATGCCCCAAAAACTCTAAAATGCCCTAAAAAACTATGAAAATTACCTAAAAACTAAAAAATTCCAAAATATGCAAAATAAACTTTCTTATTCTCATTCATAAGTATATAAAACAAATTTGTGACCAGACGAGCATCGCACAGTAAGCTTTGGAAAACAATGCAAAGTGCATCGAAATCCAAGCCTTAGTTATAAGTCATAAATTTTGAATTTGAATGTTTGTCAAGAGAAACTAATAGGAGATACATACTTAATGGTATATTATAAACAATAATTAATCAAATTAATTATTTTTATTGATTTCCTCAAATTATTGTTTATATTATATACTGCTAGTTAATATTATTTTACACAACTACTATATTTTTGTTAATTATTTATTTGTTATGTTTATTGTTTTTGACTGTAGGTACATAATGAAACATTTATTTTATTGTTATATGTTAAATATCATGTTTTACTAAAATAAATGTATGCAGTTATTATTTATGACAAGAAAAAATTTAACTAAATGTAGGTATTTTAATATATTATACTGTTTGATCACAACAAAAACACTCCGTGTAAAAAACAGCTAAGTAAAAAGTAAAACAGATTTTTAAGCACTATACAGATGTGATATCATAAACAAATGCTAAGTAAATTGAATTAAAGTAGGCTTAATTTGTTTCAATAAATTATTTACTCAATGAAAAATTAAATACTTTTTATGGTATAGCAAAAAAAATAGCGTGAACAAAATTAATGAAAGGCATTATAAGTTCATTATTATTTAAATATCATAATTTATAATTTTTAACAAAATAAATTCTCGCTAAGTAAATTAATAATTGAAACAACATAAGTGTACATTGATTTGATTTACTCAGCATTTATTTACTCGTTTTTTGTTGTGATGTCAGTTTATAACCAATTATTTTATTTTCTGTTTGCACACTTAAGTTGGCATATTATTTATAATTTAATATTACCAATGTAATATGGTACGCGAGGTGAGAACATAGTCATTAACTAATAACACACTAATACGCTAATACTAGAAATAATTACAATTCTACAAATTATTTAACTAATTATGGTGAAGTAGCATAATGAAATGTATCATAATATTCTTCCAAAGCCAAGTAATGGGTACACGGAATGAATTAGTGGACTCGGTCAACTTGACAACTTTGAGATATGGTTAGMGTKATTCCGGATTGTATTATAATATTTTATAATATTTCACTTTTCCCTTAAGAGGACGCTACACCCGCATATATTGTCTCCGTCTTACAAGTGCGTAACATAGCAAATTTTATGCTCAGMAGATCACGTTTAGCTCCGTTAGTTTAAAATTTARAGTAAATTGACCTCTTACAATAATTAAAGGTAACATTATTATCGAGGGCATAACGTARGCTTTTTATTATATTTTGATTTTAAAGTGAGTTATGTGTATTTTAARATTKWMAAWYRWTTKWMAATYTTAAAATACACATAACTCACTTTAAAATCAAAATATAATAAAAAGCTTACGTTATGCCCTCGATAATAATGTTACCTTTAATTATTGTAAGAGGTCAATTTACTCTAAATTTTAAACTAACGGAGCTAAACGTGATCTTCTGAGCRTAAAATTTGCTATGTTACGCACTTGTAAGACGGAGACAACGTATGCGGGTGTAGCATCCTCTTAATAACTTAATTTCTAACTGTACGATTTCTATGATCAAAAAGATCATATCTGCATGATTTTTCTTATTTTAAATGATTAATTAGGTATTTATTGATTTAGTAGATAAATAATTAGGTTCGGTTAATAACACCAAAATCTACACAATGTGTAAGCGACGTTAGAAAGACGTAATTCAATCTTTATCATTATTCAGTAGAGCAATTAAAAGTTTTCTATGTTTAATTCTTATTCTACATTACAATTATTTAATATTTTTAGTTTTTAGTGTTGGATAGGAAATTTTATTTGTTTAAATATATAATATATATATCTTTTGGTAACTTACCTTAACAGGGGGCGTTTTACCCACATGTGATGTCTCCGCCTAACAAGTGCATAACAGTAACATAACAAATTTTACGCTCAGCAGATCACGTTTAGCTCCATGAGTTTAGTGAATTTAGTGAATTGACCTCTTATAAAAATTAAAGATAACTTTATTATCGAGGGCTTCTCGTAGACTTTTTATTATATTTTAATTTTAAAGCGAGTAATGAGTTTTTAAAATTTTAAATTGTTTGTATATCTTGAAATATTCATAACAAACTTTAAAATTAAAACATAATAAAAAGTCTATGAAAATCCCTCGATAATAACGTTACCTTAATTTTTATAAGAGGTCAATTCACTCTAAATTTTAAGTTCACGGAGCTAAACGTGATCTGCTCAGCGTAAAATTTTTTATGCTACGCATTTGTAAGTCGGAAACAACATTCAGTGATTGATTTATCAAACAATACTCATTATTTAAAAAAGTATTGACTTTTAAAAAAAAATTTTTTTACATAGTTTCAAGTTATTAAAAAACCAACCTTTTTATTAAAAAATTATATTTTTAAATACTTTTTATCCTTATCATTTTTTTAAGTTTTTTACTTTTTTGAATGACGACATAGAGTTTTAATTTCATATTCTAAAGCAGAATATTTTTCAAAGTATTTTAATTCATAAAAATTGAATTTAGGACGATTAGTTTATGAGTTATAAGTATTTAAAGTTTAGATTGGCAGAGTATAGTGGTACGGGGTTACCCCTAAAAATGATTGTCCACTACTCCGCTTGTCTAAACTTTAAATACTTATAACTCATAAACTACTCGTCCTAAATTCCATTTTTATGAATTAAAATACTTTAAAAAATATTCTGCTTTAGAATATGAAATTAAAACTCTATGTCGTCATTCTAAAAAGGAAAAAACTTAAAAAATTATAAGGATAAAAAGTATTTAAAAATATAATTTTTTAATAAAAACGTTGGTTTTTTAATAACTTGAAACTATGTAAAAAAATATTTTGAAAAAGTCGATATTTTTTTAAATAATGAGTTTTGTTTGATAAATCAATCACTCTGTATACTAGCATAACGTTCTCTTAAGCCATATTTTACTGTTTTATTTGACTAACGACTTTTTTTGACGAAAAAAAAATTAATTCTAGGGAAAGAAAAAATGTATAATTTTATAAACTAACCAGTTTTTTATTCATAATCTAAATCACATTGTGAAATTAATAAAAATAAATAAATCTTTTTCTATGACAAATAAAGAAACAAAATTCAAGTATTAATATTATAACCAGGGTTCAGGACTTATAACACTAAAAAGCACTAAAATATGACCCGATAAACTTAAGAATATGCACCAAAAATGAAAAAATAAGCACTTAAAAAATCATTAAAAACAAGATTAACTCATACAATTATTAAATATATAAAAAGGATTTGAATTTAAATTTAATCATTGATTAATACATTTAAAAAATTTAAAGCAAAATCTTTAAAAATTGGGTTTAAATGTTCCGGTTAGGTGAGCCTATAGATCTATGGGATAGTGCATAACTTTCTGATGTTTAAAAAATTTAGTTCATTAAATAGTTCTAGATATTATACCAAACAAGTGGACATTTTTTCTTCTTTATATCATATAACTCTTATCCCCTGTAGGGGTTGAATTTAAAAAAACTCTCTCTTAGGGTTTTTTTTAATCATAAATTGAACTTCATGACTAAGCTTCAGTGGTTCTAGGTCATTTTTTTTTTCATCTTTATCCCGTGCACTTCGTCGCCTGTTAAAAATACCAACTCTATATGATCGAACATTTTTGTTTGATTTGTCGTTTCTCTCATGGAACTTTCACTTCTTGCTATTATTACAATATCATCAGCATATGCGAACAAATTTGCTACGATTTATTAATAATACATCTAAATTTGATGTATATAGATKATGAATGTCATGCCTTATATTTCAAAAAGATAATAAGTAATTAATTAATTAAACAGCTGTGGATTTTTAAAAAACTGAAATTGAAATTACTTAAATCAACTGTTTAGAAAAAGCAACATTGAGAACTACATAAAATTATGTGTTAGAAAGAAACAGATGCTTTCGTCTCCAAAGTCAMAGTTCATTCTTTTTAAATAGAGATAGAAGATAGATATATTAGTATATTACAATATGTAATAAAACTAATTTAATATACTATATATACCTGGTGTATTGTTTACACTATTTCAATAAAATCAAAAGGTCGCTTTCTAAATGTTTTTTGATTGATTCAACTGTAATATAGTGGGAACCAACAATAGGAAAACTGTTAATATGTTGTGTTATATTCTCATTAACATTGTCGTCTTTAATAGCAAGTAGGCGATTAAGATTAAATACTCATATTTGCTATTCTGGTCTTTAGGTAAACTGGTTAATTATTTCTTTTCTTTTTTAAAATGTTGCTTATTACTTTTTCTAAAATAGCTAAAAAATCATAGATAGTAGAATCATTTTTTGGCACTCTTGAATCTTCTCTTTATGTAGTGATAAAAAAATATTTTCTGGATATATTTCTACGTGACCGAAATGGAATTACAGTGAGTTGTATTTTCTCTACAATTCTTACATATTTTGCTAAGAATTTACATTAATGTAAAATTACCTACTATAAAAACTAATTGTACATTTAAATACAGTTGTGATCTATTAAAAATATAAAACAGAAATTATATTATGTAAATGAATTTTGAATTTCAGGCCAAAAATATTAAACTAGAAACAGTGTATGTAAATCAAAAGTTGAAGTTACAAAATATTTTTGAAGATATACAAAAAAAAGAAGACATTATCAAAATATGTAGAAATGATTTAGACTCAAGGCCAAATTATAATTCAAGGTGTGTAAAATCTATTTAACTAAAAATCCACTGTAACTAATATAAGTATTGAAAATTGTCCAAAATAATAAATTAATGTTATTTAGATCAAGTTATACACAAAGAATATTAGAAATTATATCTAATATTGAAAAACAGAAAAAAGAAATTAATAAAAATTTGAATGATACCAGGCAGGTTCAAAAAGAAATAAATTCTTTAGATGGTAAAGTAGAACGATGTTTTATTTCAATTGATGAACTGATGTTTAAGGTATTTAAACTTTATTAATTGTATCCTAACTTTTAATTTTGTAATACTCATAAATGTTATGCAGGTAGCAAAAAAAGATGACACAATCCGAAAATGTTATAAACTATTAGCTGCCATTCATTCAAACAGTTCAAGCATTATAACATCTGTAAAACAGGCAGGTACAATTGGAAGAGAAATTAAAGAGTTGGAAGAACAGGTATATTATATGGTTCATTTGATTATAATTATTAATTATCATATATTTATTTTTGATTTATATTATTTATTATTTACTACATAACATTTTTTCAGATTGAAAATGAAAATCCTCATCAAGCCACAGCTAATGTACAAAAACTTAGAAAAGATATAGAGCTTGTTAAAAACGAGCAACAATTATTATTAAAAAAAATTGAAAATTAAAAAAAATAAGCTTTTGTAATTAATTATGTTAAGTAATATAGTGTTTAAGGGGATTGGAAGCGGTTATTTTCTGTCTTTGTCTAACATACATGGGACATACCATACGCCTGACAAAAATTAAGGTACTTCCAGTTGTTCGATTTAAAATATGTAAAGATGTGTTAAATTGATATACAAGTTTACTTTGCATCGGTCGAAGCACTTTTTCAATTGTAGCAATATTTTAATAAGAATAAATATTTAAAATTTTATAAATTTGTCAATTTTTTTTATTAAATATATTAAAAATATTAAAAATATGCTTCAACCGATGCAAAGTAAACTTGTATACCAATTCAAAAATCTTTACATATTTTAAATCGAGCAACTAGAAGTGCATTAATTTTTATCAGGCGTATTGTATGTTTCACGTGTGTTAGACAAAGACAGAAAATCACCGCTTCCAATCCCCTTAAGCAATATAATATATATTTTGTATCAAAAGTCAGATTTCAGAAATCAATATAATCAATTTGTTTACTCAATAATTATTATTGTTGGCCATTTTTATAAATATTTAAGGTAACTTTTACAACAAAAATTAATTTGTTTTATAAAACAAAAACATTTTAAGAATTTAAAAAATTAAATAACTTCAGCTATATATATAGCTTTATTAGAAGAGAAATTAAAGAGTTAGAAGAACAGGTATTATATGGTTTATTTGATTATAATTATTAAATAACATATCTATGTTTCTGATTTATATATAAATTTAATTGCCAAACCTTATTAATCCTAAATAAAATATTTTTCTTCTCATTTATAAAAAAATAATTTATATTTAAATTTTTAAATAAAATATATTTTTACTCAAAAGTTATTGAAGCAAATAGTTATATTAATTGTTTAAAATGTTGGCTATTATAACTATGAATAATATACATATCATTTAAACTAATTGTTTTATTAAAATATTTTTTTATAGGAAAACGTAAGATTACCATTTTTGTACTACATATTTTTTATAACTACCTTTATTATCGCTGATGCTGATGATACAGGTATTGAAAAGTTGAGGAATGTAAAGTTTCCTGAGCCGGATGTCTTTCCAAGTACATTTCTTTGCAATTTTACATCTTTTAACTTTTTTGTTTCTCTTCGACTGATCTAAATCAGATATTATTTAGATAAAGGCATATTCCCATCTTTTTGGAAGCTCAGGTTAGTCATTCCAATTATTTAATATCTTTAAATCAGATTATAAATCCAAAGTTCGGGAATGAGGGCCCAATTTCTATTTTAAGCCATATTGGAAAGTTTTTCGAAAAACTTGTGTTTCATGCCCTCCGGAAACTTGGTCCTTAATGGACTGGTGGGCTTAAAAATGTTGTTTAAGCTATTTATTTTGGCATAACTCCCTTAACAAGCCATTATTTATTTTGTCGATTAAAAAAAAAAAATGTTTACAATCAAGTCATTGTCATAATAAAAGTATAAAAATTTAATAAATATTATAAATAATTACGGTAATCGCGATTATAACATTACTAATGGATAAAAACTGATTGGAAACCACGATTAAAATTAAACGTTTTACTTTAAGAGCGTACATCCAAAACTGTACCTGCTGGTTTTCTTTGTTAAAAATTTACGCAAACGAGTCGCCTTAAATTCAAAAAATATATTATTATGTGCGCAAACGAGTCTCAGCCGTAAAAACACCTATGAACAAAATTAAAGAGGACATTAATTTCTGGGTTCTGCAAGAAGCTTGAATTTTGATTTTTTAAATTTTAATTCTTTAAATTAACTTGAAAAGGTAACAAAAAATACGATAAAACATGAAATAATACTCGTATAAAATTTTATTGATATCAAAAATCGGACTTCTACAGAATCAGATATGAATCTCCTCAACAGTGTTTTTACATTAAAACCACTCAGTAACCCATATTCTTTGAACTTGTAAAGTATGTTTTATAAGAAAGCCGTAGAAAATTACGGCCTGCCACGATGACGCTAATATGGCTAACAAAACTATCTCTTGAGTGGTGTATGACTTGTATGTCTACTCGTTTCCGTAAGACGTTTTCTTATTAATGAGTTATATGATTTTGAACTTTGTTGTTCTACTGTAATTAATTAATCAGTTCTAAATATTTTTTCCTTGAAGCTTTCAAAAATAAATGCCAATGTGATGTCCACAGATATTGACAATTGTTTCGATAGAGTTGACCACAGCGTCCTTGAATATCTTTTTAAATCTGGTATTAGTATTCCACTATTCACTTGGTCAAATTACGCTTAATTGGAAGACAACTGTCTAAAAATCGAAAGTCTCATAGCCTCTGGCTCACGGCGTCGACATTTATCTTCTAGTTCCGAACATTGTTTTACATTTCAATGAAAATGTAAGGATTGCGGAGTATTACGTGGCTGGTCTGATTAATGACTCAATAAGGGGTTTCTTTAAGGTTATCTATAGATACCAAAGATTCAAGAAATTATTGAGACTATAAAAGACTTTTGAACGGGTATAAACGATCAATTGTTTGAAAATCATTGTCGAAAGATACTGCCGGAAATTAGCGAAGACAAACTGTTTTGTATATTAAATTTAGTGATAATTTCCCCTTAATAATTTATAACAACTCTGTGCTATGGAAGTGCAAGAGCAGGTATATAGACAATTCATTAGGAATGATTGTTCATTAAAATTATTTATTGAACTCAAGTATGGAAAGTATGCAAGCTCTATCCAGCCATTAACCAAGCTAATTATTCTGTATTGAACGTTATAAATGACTAAGTTCAAAAGTCATACTACTGTTTATCGATAGACGTTATATGAGGTTTAATAAGAAAATATCAAATAGAACAAAGCATAACAAGGTGTTTTATCAGGTCATATTTTTTTATATGAAGTAGTGTTAAATATAAATAGTTATCAAGTGAGCCACATGGTACGTTTACCATTTTTAATGGTTGGTATAATAGCTTAAAAGGTGATCCGATACCACAGAAATCTATATGTGACTATTCTAAAGCATTGCTGGTCGTAATTTTTAAAGAATTTTATAATGGTATCACATTATACGATTATGTAGAGAAATGCATTAACATTTTGTACATCAAAACTAATACACATTACATCTGAATTGACATACCTCATTTAGTTAAACAAGTTTTTTGCTGGAAATATCTTATAGGAGCAAAAAATTACCGTTTGGAAGAATCTTATGTATGTTACATGTGTTATATATCATGAATTCGAACAAATTGTTATGGAGAATTTAAAAATAAATAAATTTTTGGATGGAGTAAAATCCAAGAATATTTCTTATTCATTAATGAAAGGTGATTGAATCAGTCTGTATTATTTATCGGAATTCACAAAAAAATTATTGAGAAAATGTACTATGCAAAAACTTTCCATTATGGTCAAATATTGTGTGATCGATTTTTAAATATTTTCCCACAAATGCATCTTAATATGCATCTGTAGAAAAGGATTTTGCATTAGGTACGTAAAAAATAATATACAAAAACACAAAACATCGCCCATGGCAGTTCATCATTTTCTTATAATATCTGGTAATATGAGCATCAAGATTTCGATGAAAATTATGTCATCTTACAGAATAAAAAACTAACAGTTTAAATGAAGTAAAGGAAACCAAAAGCATACATTTAAGGAATCCGGTAATATCGATAATATCACCAGCATGTTAATTTGGAAATCTGACTGCCAAAAATTTAACGACTTTGAGATGAAGTGCAATATTGAAATAACTCAATATGATTTCAGGGAAAATTTTTTTTTCAATTTTTAGATTGGTTCAATGACTTCGGTGGATCACCACTGGACTCTAGATCCATCACCACTACTTTTAATTCTTTGTACTTAGTTTTACCTATATCCTCTATGACTTGTTTCATAAATTATGTTCTAACAATACCTCTTCCGGTAGTATTTCTTTCAATTGGTTTTTGTGTCTATACCTCACTAATATATAATCTATTTGATATCTTACTATTTCTCCCAGCATGGTCCTTGAGTATATTATCTTCTATTTTGGTTGTTAGAACATTGTATTAGAATGATACAATTTTATTCTGTACAAAACTCACAGCATATCTTCCTTAAATTTCTTCTGCCAAAACCGAACGTACCTATTACACCATGTTCTTTTGTTTTTCCTATTACTACAATCCAGCTTTTCTCTTTTGAATAGTCATTTCTATCACCCCGCTTATTTGTTCATATATTTCTTTTATTTCTTTGGTTTTATGGACACTTGGTATGTACACTTGTAGAATGAATGTATCAACGGTGTTGTCTCTATTTTAATGGCAGTCATTTGATCACTATATTAAACAATTTCTACTACTTTTTTCCCATTTATTTGTTCGGTATGAAACCTGCTTTTGTTACTTTATGGTCATCTCCTCTGGATATAATCTTGTAGTCACCTGACCAAAAATCTTTTCTACCTTGGAATTTTATTTCACTCACTCTTGTTATATCTATTCTTTGTCATTCCAATCATTCCATTTCAATTTTGAGGTTCTCCAAATTACCACAGATTCTTAAAGATCTTACCTACCAAGTGGCTATTCTTCTTTTCTTTGCTTTGCTTTAGTTTTCTCTTTTGATGAATATTTGTTAGCATTAGTCTCTCTACCCAGTGACAGCAACAGTATGGATATAAATAAATGCAATAAGATGTAATAATCAACAATACTAAAGACTAAGTTAATCACCAACATATTTATTTGGCACTGATATAAATGATACTATACTAATCACAGTAGACGAAGAAAAAAGATGGAGATTCTATGAAACGATTATCACTGGTCCATTATACAACTCTAGAAATAATGATAAAAAATTTAAAATACAAAAAAGTACACAAAATCTATAGATCATTCGATTATTTATTTGAAATTAGCATTTGACTTACAGTCACAACAATGATAAAACGTTTCTGTAAGAAGTATTAAAAATATATATGTTTTATAAATAATTAAATATAATGTWTTAAATTGCAAACAATGTTACAAAGTTAAATGTGGCAACAACAGAAAAATAAAATGTTTCAACTTACATTTGTACAATTGTAACTAACAAAATTTAATTAAATTTATATTACTGGACGGATAATGTCTTATTGATTTTGATTATTTAGTGCACGTTAAAATCATAAAATTGACAAAATTATATACCAATACATAACATATTATGTATAAGTAAATTTATCATTATCTATTTATGTACAACTAGGTAAACAGTATAGAAATAATTAATACTATGTAGATATCTTAATTCAATGACATTTTAAACACAATATTAGAAATTTTTTTTAAATAAATATTGAAGTTTGTTAAATACATAATTGTATTACAATAATAACAACAGTAAAAAAATGATAAGATTTGAAAATTTGAATTTATATTACAAAACTTAGATAATAGTTATCCACTCTGTAGAATATATATCATGATTTTTTTTAAGTATTAAGGTATGTAAGCTCATAATATTTTACAATACAAACATATTTATAAACAATTCGTGCATTGCTTATGCTGTCACAAAAATTATATTAACATCAATGCGTCCAGATTTTTGTATGATTAGGAAAAAATTTTTTGGTAATAGTTGGTTTAAATGCAAAAAAACACATAATTGATTACATATGAATAAAAAGAAAATAATGTGAAATTATTGTAATGATAAAAGCATAAACAAAATTGTCCAATATAGAAAAATAAAACATTTTTGTTTTTGATAAAAAAAAATATAATATTTTACAATACATAAATATTAAGTACAAAAAAAAAAAAAATAAAAATAAAATCAAACAGATATTTATCATAAAACTTAATATAGACTTTTGAATAAGTAACAAAGATTTTCCTATTTAGAAAAGAGTTTCATTTTGCTAATCATTAACACATATAGATTTAATAACAAATTAAATAAAATATAAAAAATTTTTAACAAATTAAATAATAATAATAATAAAACGTCTTAGTTTAAAAAATAACAAAAATCAATAATTAAGCTGATTATTTGGTAAAAAATAACCAAATGAATAGAGAGGTTGGTATATTTTATTTTACTATTACATACATAGAACATATATATATTATATATATACTATAATAAGTACAATATTTGCTTCAATGGCAATTATTTACATTGCCAATTATTATTTTTATAAAAAAGATTAAATATATTTTTTATTTAAATAACTCTTATACATCCAATTTAATTTGATCTAAATGAACATATTTAAATAAAAACGTATTAATGTTTATGTGTTCACTGTACTGTTACTAATTGACAAGAATAACTAGCGTAAAATGCATTTATACTGCGTACGATTTTGATTAATGTACTTGTAAAGTTTTCTGTAATTCTACATTGTTTAAAAATTTTAAATAAAATGATTTATGTAGTTTTACTGTAAGAGCCTCTAATTAAGTACTTAAATAAGTAATTATAAAAACTGAATTATTCAAATATATTTATTTTATAAATTTCTTAAAGTGAAATAATCAATTATATTATTTAAAACAGTTATGTATATTTTTTTACTAATACATATTCTACAGTGAATCATAAACCAAATAATCAGCTCTTGGAAAATTAAATGATATTTTGTAATGGCATACGAATAATAATTTCAAAAATAGCCATAAAATGTCATCAAAAATATATGTTAGTATAAATATTAAATTATATTATATTGATTTCTAACAAAAATGATTGTGATGTTTGATTAAAAAGTATTATTATATATTAAATATTAGTAAAATAAATATGATAGATGGTGATGAATTATATATATATAGAAATTAGTAAACAAAACAGAGTAATACCATCTCATTATTGTGTATATCAGTATGATGCTGTTGATGTGGTTGTTTGTTTATGAACTGCTATGTTTCCTTGCGCAATTTCTCCGCGTTGTATTGCTTGATATTTCAATAAAGCGTCATAGCCATAGGCAAACATTGCAGCAAATCCAAATAACTATATTAATAAAAAAAAATTTGTTAGTACTGCTTTATGATTATCATTTACAAATTCAATACTTCTCAAATAATTTATGTTTGTAGATAACCTTTTAAAGAAGAATAAATAATGAAGAAAGTTATATTAATAGATTGATAAGTACCTAACTAGACATTTTCAGAGTGAATTGGTATATAATAAAAAATAAAAACAATTATATGTGAATCGATAAAATATACATAAAACAATTTTTCATGAGCCAAAATAATAAAGTAATACAACAATTGAATTAAAAGTTGTTCGATTCAAAACAAGACTATAAGTTCTACAGTATGCTAAGAAACAGTATTATTTAGATTGTGATAATTTTGATGAAAAAAAATATTTTTAATAATTTAAAAAGTACAAGTTTTATAGAAAAAAATGAATGATTAACCAATTTTATCCTAATACCAATTATGATTATAGGCTAGCATTTTACTTGTTAAATAAATTAAGTTTTCATAAATACTAACACAGTTTATTTTTAATTGCTTATTTTAGGTTCTAGCGGAGCGAGGAATGTATTGATTTTACCCTGATATGTGTTTTGTATTAATTTTTTTTTTCKTCTTTCATCACGTTTTGGGGCAGTAAAAGTGCTTCGATTTTTGACTTCAGTACCTCTTTCGATCTGAAAGTGAATTTAGTTGGTACTTCGAATGGTCAAAATTAAAAAATTGCCAGTAATTGGGATAAACAAACTAAAAATTAATACATTTTTATACACAATCAATTTTTGACAAAATCGATTTTGATTTTTGATGTAACTTTAAAATGGSCATAGATACATGACATTTTCACCGAAAGCTTATATAAGTATATTCTATCCATCATGAAATTTTCAAAAAATGTCGATTAAAGTTGAACTATTTATAGGCATATGCAATTTACTTAAAAATTACGGTAATGTTCAAATTATCTTAGAAATTCATAAAAGATTTTCTCTTAAAATCTAAGATTTGAAAATTTAATACAAGGCTCCGAACATATTTTTACAATAGCAAAGCAAAGATAAAAGAAATACATAATCACAATTTTTTTTACAAGCATTCAAAGTTTGAATTTTGACAAAATGTGTAAAAATCATGAAAATTCGCAAATCATTTTCAGCTAGAAATTCATAAAAAAATTTCTTTTTAAATCTAAGATTTGAAAATTTTTAATAATCTATAATATATCCTAGACAGATAAACTGTCACCGCTCATAATCGTTTTTCGTATACAATGATATAATATCATTGGATTCAAATTTAATTCCATCCATTACAGTGACCCACTTATAAGCTACTGTAGAGCAGAGTGGCATCCACGACTTCCCGCTTTTTTTTTTTTTTGATAAAGGTAGACGAACATATTATAAGGAATCTTGTATTTAATTTTGTATCTTAGATTTAAAATGAAAAATTTCTATGAATTTCTAACTCAAAATTATTTGTAAAGTTTTGTGATTTTTGTATATTTTGTCAAAATTAAAAATTCACTCAGAAAAAATTATTGTTGATTTCACTCAATTTTATTTTTAATTCCCACTAACAACAACATTCTACCGTGCAAAAATTTYGTTATTGCCATTAATTCAATAAAAGACTAATAAATAATCGAAAATTTCATATGCCTTTAAATAAATATGAATCAAAATATTTAGAAAATGTTATGATGCATAAAAAATGTATAACCGTAAACACCAGAAATTTTCACCAAATGTTAGAATTACCTACTAATTTCCACACATGGTAAAATTTTTGACATTTTCAATGACTTATAGCTATGAAACATTTTAAAAAAATTGTAAATTATTTTTCAGTTAGAAATTCATAAACATTTTTTTTTTTTAAACTAACATTAGACATTTCAACAAAAGATTCCCCAGAAGTTTTTAAATTAAAATCTTAGTTCAAGTAAAAAATTTGAACAATGATATTATAGATAATTTATTTTTACTTACCAAACTTATCATGTAGCTAAAATGCAAACCAGTATAAGCAGCTGCAGAGGATGCCGACAAAATGTAAAGAATTGGCCAACAAACATTAAAAATCATCTCCTAAAATTATTAAATTATTCACCTATTTAAAAACTTCAATACATAATAAAACATTTGAAAAAAATTATTAGAATTTTATTAAGATATATTATATTGTTTGTAGTAATCATTTTCAGTTTGATAATACTTACAATTTTAAGCCACGGTATTTTATAAAAGCATTCTACCACATGAAATATATAGAATACCAACATGAATAACGAAAACCAAAATCCAAACATTGATATTGAAGTGACGGCACTATTTTGATACCACATACTGTATGTAGAAAATGACACTGCTATTAGACTTAATAAAACAAACACCTAAAGATAAATATAATTATATAAATTAATAATTTAATGACATCAGAAGGTAGATATTATGTTATCTATTGAAATGTTTGAATTCAAATTAAGATTATTAATGACTTTTAAAATTTAGAAGTATTATAATGTAACACAGTGTCGGTCTGGCATACTAAAGACTCATGGGTCAGATTTTAAGAGGCACCATTATAAACTGTCTCATTCTTTGTAAAGAATAATTGCACTTAAAAATGATGTACCTTTTAATATTTCAATAAATACTTTGCGCAGTACATACTCCCTATAAAGACAAAGAACACACCAAGCAGTTAAATATTTAACGAGACCCTTAAAAAACTGTAGAAGCCCTGGCTGTGTTTGTGGACCAGTAGCCATGGCAAAACCAACTTGCATATACAGTATAGCAGGTTCGGACTGGCCCAGACCACAGGTCCGCACTGGGCACCTGGCTAGTTTGGGCCCTTTGACTTCACATTCATATTTTAAATTAAATATATTATCATTGTTTTAGTAACTGACATTTACGTATATTTTACATTTACAAAAAGAAATTAGATCTAGAAGAGATAATGCTGATAGTATATTTATAAATCTTCATTCTAAAGTTAAACATTTTATTATAGAAATAAATAAAGAATTATAATTAAATAGTAGTAATTTCACTGTAAATATTGATTTTAATAATGGGAAATCTATAGGTAGAGAATCAAAAAAAAATATGGCCGGTGAAAAAGCAACAGATGAACGACCAAATATGTCATTAACTAATACATTTAAATTCAAAACTTTTAATTAAATCCATATGCAAATAGCTTGGATACACGATTTATTAGTAATTCAAAATTACTAAKTGATTGCATTTGCTTGGATCCCAAAAACTTTGATTCTATAAAAAATTATGTACCAGCAAAATATGCATTACCTACTAGAACTTTCTATTTTAACATCTATCGATAGAAATACATCGGCATCTGAATTACAACAATTTGCTTTCCAGTTTTATTCTATCACTAAAACTTTTAAAGACACATTCATATTTTTATCTGAAGAGCCTCAATCTCCTATTTATGATAATGAACTAGATTTAGACCAAGACTAAGCATCATTTGTTGATTTGTCCAATAATTGTAAAACATGTAATAACCAGTGGTTGACTTGGGGGGGGGGCGCGGGGGGACTGAGTACCTCAACTAATTTTTTGGATACGCTAGCGTACCCCTACTTCTTAGGTTAGGTTATACTAGGGACTATGCTATAGGCTAGGGACGCTACATTCTAAAAGTAGCTAGAGTACCTCTACTACTTTATCTCCAAGTCAACCACTGGTAATAACTGTTTACGATGTGCATTCAATGTATTACATAATATAGTTCAACAATCAGGTTGTTTTAACAGTATAATATATTATGCATATAAATTTGTATTAACACTATCATGTACCCTGCAAGTTACTTGTGAGAGAACGTTTTCAAAATTAAAAATATCAAAACAAATTAATATCAGCTATTTCCCAAAAAACAATGGAAGCATTGTTATTGATGAATATTGAAAGGAATTTTTTAATTGATAAAGAAAGTGTAATTGATACTGTTGGAAAAAGTTCTAGTGAATTATCTAAACTGTTGTTTTAAATTTGAATAATGAAAAAACATATTAACTAGCTATTTATTTATGTTTTTTGTTTAATTATTTTCATTTAAATATTTATTATATTATGTAGGTATTGGTTTATGTTTGTCAAGGTCGAACAAATTGTTATACATTATTTTATTTATAAATTATTATTTTATTCTACCTATATGATGAATTATTTAAAGTATAATATTAAATATTAAAATGTTTCTATAATTTTCATTATTATAATATGTTTTTTCATTTTATTTAATTGTTATCCTAATTAAATACAAAAATGAACAAGTAAATAGTGGAGCTAATAATGTTTAGTATATCCTAAGGGCACATTGATCAGACTGCAGGCTGGGCCTTTTGACGCCAGACTGGCCCTGATACAGTAAACTAGGTATTTTAACTAAGATTAGTATATTATTTTGTTTTCTTGTTAAATCTTTAAATACTAAGAGTTCAAAATTTTAGAATCCGAAATAACAAATACGGGTAACAGATTCATTGGAACCAAAAAAATTATAAAATTCATATTTTAAGTAGCCAAAAATGTTTTTGTTTGTTTTTAATAATTTTGTCATTTTGGGATGGTAAAAACTGCAAGCAGAAATTAAATATTAAAACTTAATATGGTCGGTACTTTTAAATAGATAACATTTAAAAATGTTATAGTTGCTCTAAAAAATATAAAACATAACTACAAAACCTGAAGCTAAAATTTAGTTAGTGGCATTTATAATGGATAAAAATTGTTCAGAAAACAATTACTATTTAGTTTAAATCATTGACTATAAACCATTTTAGAATTTAAAATTATTCATAATTATTAATTTTTATCAAACATTTTTTTATAAAATCAAACAAAAATTATTTTAGCTAGTTCTATAAACTAGCATCTTACAATTTTAATATACTATTTAGTTTCATTTAACTCTTAAAAGGATGCCCATGGACACAATTATTAATAAAATCATAATCAGAAAAGTAAAACGATCATTTTTAAATCATTTTTTTCATAATTTGTGTATATAACGAAAAATGCTTTTTTTAAATTTCACACAATATATTATACTGTTATTTCTTGCCAATTCTTACTCATAAGATCAATGACATAACTAAAAGGGATCAGAAGATGCAGTTATACTTAGGCCGTTYACATAGAGGACTTAGGAACATAATGCAGTTTTATTTCTATTAAGAGGATGTAACATCCGTATTTCTGTCTCAGTCTTACAAACGCATAACTAGAGGTCGGATTTTTATGATTTTACATATTTGTTTCTAGTTTATGCAGTTAAGTGGGAGTGAGAAATCTTTACGATTCATGAAAMACAGAATTCATAGGAAAAAATTTATTCTGCATAAAATAGCATATTTTATGGGTTAGAGAATATTTAACACGTTAGAGAATATTTGAGAATATTTTTGTAATGTCGGCATATAATGAATATATTTTACGTATATCAGCACTTTGATAGGTATAATGTTCACTAAATAATTCTGTTTATAAATAATTAATTTCTGGATTTTAATAAAAATTWATCTCCAGGTATTHCTTATCGATAGCACGTAAATTATTTCGTTAKYWWTTCGTTAGCTAAAATAAATTTAAACGGAATTTTTTTTAATATTAAAAGAATATTTTGCATATTAAAGGACATAAAACATCATATATCTGGTATTTTAAAAGAATATTAAGAGAATATATTGCCTAATTTATGCGACATAAAAACATCATATTTTAAGGATTTTAAGAGAATATAAATCCGACCTCTACGCATAACATAGCAAATTTATGCTCAGTAGTTCACGTTTTTCTCCGTTAGCTTATTTAGAGTGAATAGACCTATTATGAAACTCAGTAGCAAGAACATTATCTGTGTTTTGTAGGAAGTATTTTTATAATAATTCAGTTTTTAAGTGAGTTATGTGCAAATTTATTTTACAATTTATTGTACGCTCATAACTCACATAAAAACTGAATTATCGTAAAAATACTTCCAATAAAACACAGATTATATTCTTACTATCGAATTTCATAAGAGGTCTATTCACTCTAATTTTTAAGCTAACGGAGTAAAACGTGAACTGCTGAGTGAAAATTTGCTTCGTTACGTGTTTGTAAGACTGAGACAACAAATATGGATGTTGCACCCTCTAAGAGAATGTTAGTGCACTAAATTGTTTTTTCTTATTAACCCATATGCAATGCAGCAAATCTGCATTCACTACAACCAATGTAATTAGGTTTAGTATTTGTATTAGAGTGAGTATGACCTATGATCAAACTTAAATTAAGCACATTAACTTTGTCCTCATGTTGGTTTTTTACGATATTTAAATTTTTTAACGAGTTATGAGATGTAWAATAGGTATATACATATAAAAATGCTTATAACTTGCATAAACATTGAAATATTTAAAAAAGGTAATTTATAATTTAAGAACACAAATAATTATTCTTAACTTAAAGTTTGATATTAGATCAATTCATTCTAATATTAAAGCTAACTATACAAAGTTGATTCAAATTAACGCAAATTTTCTATGTTGCATATGGGTCATCCTCTTAATATTAACATACCTAATATTTTAAAATTCTTTGAAAAGCATTTATTATATAGCATAATGTTTCTAAATTTAACTGTATAAACTGTAATATTATATAGTTACCAAATTATCAATATTTGGTTAATTGTACAGGTAATAGAATTAATTGGTATTATGTATTATTAAAATACTTGAAAAACTATTTAAACAAAAATTGAAACATATTGTTTTACTATGAATAAATAAAAAACATTAGCTGTAATAATTTTATATTAAGAGCTTTAAAAATWAAAAAAATAAAAAAATAAAAAACATTATGTATATTATAATTAAATATAATATGTAAATATAATTATATGTGTTAAATATTAAGTAGGTAAGTAGTACTCACTAGTACCTCAGGTTTAATAAAAAAAAAATATTTCAATGATTTATTAAATAAAATACAATTTACAATATTTATTGTTTAACTTGTTAAACAATTTATCGACTATTTCAGCAAATCCTGATTTCCTGGTTAATTCATTCACCTAATGAGATCCTGTTTCACTATAAATTGAATATGGTATATAATTTATTTTCTGAAAGACATAAAAACAACATTATGTGCATTATTTCTTATGATTGTTTTCAGCAAAAAAATGTTCAACCTTAAAATCATTTTTAATGTAACAGCTTATATTCTTATAAGTTAAAACTATTTTATCATATAACTTTATTTATTTAATAAAGAGTTTAATGATAAAATAGTTATAGTTTTATATCTTTCATTTTATGAGATTGCATTCCGATTCATTTGTCCTTCAAGATTACTTAATTTCACTATCAGTGTGGTGTAATTAAAATAAAATCATTAAATATTGGTAAGTGTAAAGTAATGTCTCCTACTAGGTGTCGCTCACCAATTATCAATAATTATAAAATAAATGATGATGTACAAAACACAATTATAAAATTTGAGATTTAGGTGTTGTTCATTCATTCAACTCTTTCCTTCAATAAGAATTATTTAAACATAATTTTTAAAAAAAACCGTCTAATACATTAGGATTCATAAATAGAACATATGAAATGTTTGCTAATTTTAAACTCTTTATTCATCTTTAAATTGTTCTACTCTAGAGAACAAATCAGTTATATAATCATTCTCTGGTGATGTTCACACAAAAAGTCTTGAAGCTATTCAAAATTAGTTTTTTGGATTTATTCAATACAAACGTGATATCCCTCATCAACCTAACTTCCAATATACACCATTAATAATCCAATTAAATATGATCACTTTTATTTTTTCAGTCTAGCTGAAGGAAGAAAACCCTATAAATAAATTAAATTATTTAATGAAGTCCAAGTCCATTTATTTAATTTTCTTACTTTTGATTGTTATTATCATTATATTACTTATTATACATATGTATATTTTTTTCTCATAGAAATATATTTTTGTTTTTCTTATAATCTTGATATTAATACTTTATTTTTAATTGTTTTATTGTTTTTAGATTAATTTTTACTGTTATTTAGTCTAATTAGATTTAAGTTTAAGATGTAATATCTATAAAAATTATTATTGGGTTTGTCTTACTGGAGATAATAATAAATAATTAAATACATAATTAAAAAAATAAATAATAGATATCTTTTTATAAATCAATTATCTTATTTGTTGGTTTTTAWTGTAACTATTAAAAGTTAAACAAATCTGTATTTACTGTTTATTTTAATTGTGTCAATAATAAATAAATTTCTTTTAAAATATCAAATTTACAAAACCAGCTATAAACTTCTATACCAGTGTTTCCCAAAGGGTGTGCTGTGAAATTTGAAAGGTGTCCCGCGGCAACTTGTACWTTTTTTATTAAAAAAAAAACATTATAAAATGATTATATTTATATTTAGATAATACTTATTCAGTGTCCCATGACTTGACTTATAATATCTAGTAATAAGGTGCCATGATAGAAAAAAAGTTTGGAAACCACTGTGCTATATGAATTATTTTAATTTTAAAAGTTACAATAAGTTTATTAATACAAATTGCCTTATAATGATTAGCGGATAGCTTTAAAGTTGTAAAATGGGTAATTAATTTTCAAATTTTAAACTATAATGTCTATGATTTTATACTGTATGAATTTAAAACATTAGCATTTATTTTCTAGATACTTACAATTTGGGCAATTTTCAATTTTCCTTCAAGTGTGTATAGATATGCATTGTCATATCTCAGGTTTGAGATAATTTCAGTATTGGTGACTGTAGTAGTTGTGGTATGTTGACTTGGAAATCCAGGATCAGCCATTTCTTCAATTATTCAAACACTTTAAGTACATAAAAAAAATAAAGAAAGTAAAATTTGATTCAACAATTTTTTTGTATGAAATTCAATATTCTTCATAATGCAAAGTACCTAAATAATTTACAAAAGATATAGGTAGGTAAATTATTTTTTTTTTTTTAAACAGGTTGTTTAAGAAATTGGAAAAAATAAATTAAAAACTTATAAAGATTCATTTATTATTGTTGATATCTTATATAGAGTTATATATATACATTATAGTAACCTGGAAATTATGATGATTCATAAAATAACAAAATTTCTTAGAAAATTTCTAAAATGCCTTAAATGTATGGTTTATATCAACATTGCCAAAATATTTTAGGAATTATGTACCAATGTTATATAATACATTCTATGAATGTATATTTGTAATTTACTATTGTATAAGACGAGTCTGGACGCAAATGCTGCACACCTATGTTTAAACACATTTAAAAATCTGTTATCATCTTAACGACTCACACATGCCATATAAATTGGTTTGAACTTAACTCTATTTTAAGTAGTTACAACATTAAGAGATAACTATTCAGGAAAGAGTGAGTTTAGATAATATTACAGGGCTGTAGAGATTTAGAAAAATGTAATATCAAAAATAAGTAAAGTAAAATAAGTAAGACTAACAAGTACCTATCACTTTAATGATAAAATATGAGACTTAAAGTTCTATAGTAGTTAACCATGTGAAAATACATTTCAATGATAATTAATTTAGTTGTATAAATATATAAATTATAAAAAAAAAAAAAGCGGGTAAGTCGTGGATGTCGCTCTGCTGTACAGTACTACAATAGGTTACTGTAATGGATGGGATTAAATTTGAATGCAATGATAGGTATCATTGTATACGAAAAACGAATCTGAACAGAGATGATTTGTCAGTCTAGGATATATTATATTTTATTATTGTCATATATTCTATTTTGAAATAAATATTTTATTTTTCAATTAAGTCGCATTTTGCAAAAGGAATAGTTAATCAATTAGTGTAGTTATCATAATTCATAATACCTGATATTATCATAGATATACGAATACCTAGTTTGAGGATAAATCGTTATCATTACGCGATTTCATGAAAATTTAAACTCAAACGCTCAAAACATTTTTCCTATAATGACACTTCAAATTTTCTCTATAGCTATTTGAAGYAAAACTTATGGAAAACATGGTGTTAAATTTTATAACCTTAGATATAAATACAACCAATATTATGAATTTTGAACTACAAAATAATTTGCAAATATTCATGGTTTTGACGAATTTTTGTCAATATTTGAAATTCAAATGCTAATAAAA